TTATTGCAAATTTTTCGTTTCTTTGAGTAACAAATTTGAAAAAGCCATAATACATCGTATACAGTATACAAATATACTAAAAAACATTACTGCACGCGAATTATCTTCAATAATTTGCATAAATTTATCTAGAAACATTCGCCAGTATAAAACAGTGAATGCCGCAATGTTGCATATTACTCGAATTAATAGTGGTCAATGATTTATTGATCTCTATGTTATTATGGCTCATAATAAATTTTTGGCTATTATTGTAATAATTGTAATATGAATTGTAATAATTTGTGTAATAACGATCAATAAAATACTCCGATATATATAAGTTTTATTACGATTGAGCGATTAGTTATAAAGATTGAGAACAAATAAATATTTTATTAATATTTTTATTTCCAATATAATATCAAGTTTCAGTTATTTTTTTCAATAATCTTGAAACAGATTGGATTGTGTTATTTATTAAATTCAATAAGATTAAATAACAATTAAATAACAATTAAATTAGACTATGTAATTTCATTATCAGTAGTATCAATATTACATAGATAGTTATCTCGTTTATGTAGTAACTTTTGCCTTTCCTACCTCAAATCTAAAATCAACGTTAAAATCCTCTGAGAAGAAATCATTGAGACTGTGAAATAGTGCACTTCTCGTTATCGACTTAACAGATCGGCCTTTAACGGGAAATGACGATCCCATCGGTGGGCTTTGTTCAGACTTACGAGTTGTCCTTCGTCTCTTCATTTCCCATTTCTCGTCTCCTCTCTTTTTTTTTCTTCTACGTTTATGTGTAATCATTTAGAATCCACGATATTTCCGGTTACGGAGTAGCCGCCGTTACGGATAATGGGCCGATAAGGCCGATCGCCGAAAAAGCGGTCGTAACATTTATACATGTACTCATGGTTGGTCCAATTAAGACGAGCCGGTAGCAAAATGATCACAAGGTACCAACAATTTTCGAAGATTTATCCGTGGTCATTCGACGGCTACACAACAAATTAATAATAAATGAACGAAGTAATCCTTACTCCAATTTTATTCAAACTATTCAATTTTTCCTGGAATAGCGTGAATGTCAGAGTTGATAGATGCGATGTCGCAGATCTTGCAGACTTAATATTATTTAGAAAAAAAATATTTTAATATAAGCACCTTAATATGTCATATTTATCATTTCACGTCAATTTTCATATCAATTGTCAATGCATTAATTGTTTAATGAATAAGTAATCATACATATTCAAATAGGTATGTGCCAAGATAGAGTACAACTTTTATTCAAATAAAATGTAAATGATAAATTATTAAATACATTACAAAAAATTTATTAAGTAATTCTTAAATCGCGTTGCATGTACCTATGAAACAATTTAAGTTATTATTAGAGACTTCTGAGAAATTATATCGTATTATAAAATTATAACTATTTCATTTTATTTTTATAGTTGTTATATGTTACTGTTTTTTGAAAACAGCGGCGCTAGCGATGAAAGAAATATTCGCAATAAATATATTCAAAATCTTTAGTGAGATCCCTTGTGAATGAAATTTGAAACATATTTGAGGACGGCGTCTATAGTAAAGTATATAACAAAGAATCTCACGCAGGCACGGGTAACCGTTCATTCGGATCATCCAAAGAGTCGAATGCTAGTCGCATTTACCGGGTGAGAACCGAGCGAACCCAAGGGTGAAAAAAAACCCAGAGAAAGTCCACCTGGTGCTTCCGTTGCTCGTGTGAGCGAAGGAAGGGGCGTAACGCGCGAAAAATCGACATGGAATTTCCTCGATTTTTTCCGAAGGGCGTTGCATGACGCGTCGGTGACCACCCGGCAGGTCCGCACATAAATTCAGTCGCGACAGAATCCGTGGCGACTAAAAGAACAGTCGAGATACAACAATGCTGCGAGCTGTCCGTCGAATATTTACTGAGGTCAGCTTCTCATTGTCAGAGCAACTACGGCGATTCAACCAGCTCTTCTCCTTTTCGGCTCCTCGCATTTTTTTTTGGTATTTGACTTCCTGCACGTAGACAGAGGAAATAAGAAAAATATATTGATGAGGAAACAAAGATCTCGCGTGGGAGTGTTTTAAAGATTTTAAGGACCCGGTGATCTGTTTAAATTATGACATCGATCATAGACATATATCATAAGTTGTATGTAAAAAAATATACAAATAAATATATTACAAAATTCACATAACCACGATTATGCATGATTAGACGCTCGTGGGAACGAGTAGTAAACTTTTCTCTACAATGTTTGTTAAAATCAAAAACGTGATTGCAGATTCTGGTATTTTGATTATGCAACATGCTCTTTGCAAGAAACTACTAGATCGTCCAAGTATGGAAAACAGAAATCCTTCCTTTTCCTTTCTACGCCCCGTCTTTTTCCGAGAGTCTGATCCTTTCTCGTTCTGTACTCTGCGCTCTCGGATTGTCACTGTTCTTTCGGAATTGTCGGACCTTATTCCACCAGCGGTATTGCCGCGGCGACCAATTTGCTGAATGGACGTCTCCAAGTCACTCCTCTTTGAAAGGACCAGAACAACCGCCTTTTAAAGCTCCCTTAAATGGAGACATTTCAAAAGAAAACCGCATGCAAAAGAAATACAAACCGGAAGTTGCAGTCTTCGTTCCATACCACACAACAAAGAATTTGCAAGCAGGTCAATGGACTGTAACAATATCGATTTTAGTGAATTTTTAAAAAATCTTTGTTCGTTCCATCGATAAACATTAAAATCAGATTTACTGTTATCTAATTTAAATCTAAATGATACATAAAATAATCATTATACCTTAAGTACACGATAATTACATGCAATAATTTCATTTAAGCGTTTTCGCAGAGAGGTAATGCGCCACGCTCGTTTCCGCGGCGACTAATAATGTCAGGTTATATGTGAATTCGCATCGATTAAATCGAGTGGAAATAACCAATATTTCGAAGTCTAATGGACATTTAATGGACACGCGGAATTATTAAGCGCGTCTAATTGCGAAGATACGTCCAAGAGCGCTGGCTCGCCCGTGAAGCCACTTACGAAATAGTACGAGATCACTGCAGCTGGTATAGAGCGTCCGAGGAGGGAGAACGATCGCACGATAGAATCGCCTCTAATGAATCGGCGACTTAATATTCTCCTGGCGCGGCGGTACCCCGATTTAACGAGGGCGGCATTGCTGCGGGCCACAAAGCGCGCGTGTGTACGCAGATGAAGCGACGTCCGGGAAATAGACCGACCGACCGACCGATCCGAGACTGGTCCAGGGAACCTGTCCAGAGCAGGCCGGTAGATAAGCAACTGCGAGATAAGATACGCTAATTGAGAGATCTTAATTGGAGACTGCGTTGGACCCTCTTCACGCGCGGGCGTAAGCCGTCGCGCCGCTGCCGCATTCGTGAATCTACGGACTGTTCAAGATAATTTGATGTTTTCATATTGTGTATAGATATTAGAAGATATATGTGCTTCGGAAACTTCATTGGAATCTAGAGATACTTGGATACTAAAAGATTATTTAGTTCGAGCATTAATCTTTGGATTTTAAGTATCTAAAAATCTATGTAAGCATTCAAATAAAAATAATTATTCTTGATAATTGCACGTACATAATGTTAGTAGTATATTTAACAGTATATTTTCATTTAAACAAAACAATTTAAACGGTTGTGCATGGCACAAACAACTGACGAAATAAATGAAATAATTGCCATTAAAAAAATTAAGAAGTAACGACAGATTTATTAGATAATACGAATCTTACACATATAATATTAGTCTTAAACGCCTCATTTATTTATACTGTTGACTAGCGTGTGCGTTTCGTGTGAAATTTCGGGGCACCAAACGAAAGCGGATTACAGGCATTATCCGGTAAGATAGAGTTTCCGATGGGGGAGCACGAAAAGCCGCACGCCGAAGACGGTATAATCTTGGGATCTAGATGCGGGAACTTATGCACCCTGGAACGTTGTCAACCTATCCGGTGACGCGTGAATGTACGTTGATGTAGAGAGATCCGGGGAAAGTGAGGAAGGAAAAGGGGTACGCGCAACGACTCGGAAGAGAGGAGGATAGGGCGCGGGCATTTTGTGTAAGGATAAGGAGGGTGCAACACTCATAACGGTTTCGCCGGGCCGATTTCAAGTTAAACACTTGAACGGGAGATAGTGAGATATAGAGCGCAAGAGATTTGTGAGAAATAGCTCGAGATTTTCGGGCAGAGGCGAATACGAGATTCACATCTTTCTCCTTCTCCCTCTCCTTACGTCGTCTCCCTCCTTCCCTGAAAGAAGTCCCTGATTCTTTCTTCACCACCGCTGCAAATAGAAAACCTCTCGGTCCGCCCATTGCCGTCGTCGCTCACCATCGGGATGTGTTTGATGTGTTTGATTTTGGCTTTCGGCTCGAAACGGCTCAAGTGGATGGTTAAGTACATTGACAGTCTCACAAATCCATCGCGCCGGTAGAAATTCGGCGCTCCCTATGAAGTTGAGTTCTTCTTCACGACGGAATTCCCTTTTTCGGAGCCGCCATTTAAGAACTTCACCGCGACAATATTTAACATGCTGCAATATAGTGAATTTGGAGCATTGCCTGTGTAATACACTTATCATACTGTTTTAAATCAGCTTTGCGCTTTTTGAGACAAACAAATCGTTTAACACGAAGGCAAATGCTATATTCATTACTTTTAAATTTCGGAGAGAAAAAGATAAAAGGAGAGTAACAACGTTTATGAGCGTTGTAAGATATTAGGTAGTAAGACAAACCCGTCTCGCTCCGTTTTTTTTCTTTTTTCTTTTTTTTTTGCAAATGTTTCTGCAGTTTGCATAACTCGTTGGACCAAATCGTATGTCCGCTACTTTATCGCTTCGGAGACTGGTTTAGCTACCGTTCCTTCACATCGTCGTTTTGCGCGCGGACTCGCGATTATGGCTATTAGAGGGATAAGAAATCGGTACGATAATAAATACGATGAATAGCAGTGTGTATGAGCGTGTATTTGACAGTGTTTTTTTTTCTTTCTCGTATGGCGGCACACATTATTAGAATTCGCAGTACATATGCGATTTAAGTTGGAATGTTATATTATTGCTAGTTGCTGCCGGACGTGCCATGCTCGTTCGGTAATAGGCTGCTGCACATCGTAAACAGGGCGAGTGTATGTGTATATGTGTATATATGTGTATATGTGTATGTGTGTATATGTGTAAACGTGTAGGTGTGTATGTGTGTAGCTTTTGCGTTACAGCCAGGATGATTAACGCCGCGCAGCGCGCGAAGGCGCGATCGAAACCGATCTAATTTTCTCTCCCCTTCCCCCCCACCCCCACGTGGGTCCCGAGTGCGACGGTCGTTGAACGTCGGCCAGTTACGAAAGTGGCTCCCGGTCCTTCTCGTAGAAAAATCTCAGTTCGGCTGATTGGCCGTCGTCCAAAGCGCGACACACCTGCAAAAGAGTCCGATCACTCCCTCTCGGTCATCCCTTCCGAGATGCGCATACACGAGCACAGCACGACCGGGGGTACATCGACACATCGATTTAGTGGGTAACGGGTGGGCCTCTATATTACAACGCGAATTACAGTGTAGAATATCATCATCGTCGTCGTTCGTTATACAACAATCATCGTAATAATTATTATCATCGTTTCATTGTTATCGATCGTCATCGGGTGTGCCTAAGACAAGTCGGTATTAAATATCTTACAATACACATCTTTCATATATTTTTATTTATATATATAATATTTATATTTTATCTTTCTTTTTTTTATTTAGTATGTATACTATCTATCTATAGGAGAGGGGAGAGGGGGAGGGTAGTCAGATTCATCTCTTGTGTTCTCGTTTTTCGTTCTGCCGTTTAATTTCTGATTCGTCGATGGTGAGAAAGTAAAAAAAAGGAGAGGGAGGGCGGGAGGAGGTGTAAGGCTGGGACGGGCGGTGATGGTCTGCTCGCAATCGAGTCACGACGCGGCGACCGATAAGACGACCGCGATGTCACGTGTGACGCTAACAGAGCTTGAATACCGAAAGAAACTTTTCGCCAATATAAAAATATACAAAACGATAACGAACGATCGACGAAATTTTCTTCGATCCCGAGTAAAGTAAACTCCTCGAGGTGGCTCGATTGCGAGTAACTCGATGAGGTCGCGAGAGAGTGACGCTGGTCGGGAATCGCATGCGCTTTTCTTCTTCCTTTTTCTTTTTACACATATATATGTAGAACGACAGGGTCAGTGACACATCTCGCTTTCGAGGAGAGACTCGCATACTCCATAAAAATTATTCTGTCATTTTTCTCCGCATCGCCGTGAACGCCGCGGTGATTCTCGCTACGTGACGCTATGCTTACACATACAAAACGAGTTGGTTAATTTTTAGAGGCGGAGTTACAATACTCATATTACAATACAATACATATACACGTTAGATTAGTTATCTGTTATTAAATTATAAGCGTCGGATTTTATGCCTTCCTCATGGTCATCTGCTGGCGTTTAATTTCTGTTTACACGCGACATCTTATCGTGCTTAGCTTGCACTCGCCACGTGCCGATAACGAATCACCGAAAGAAAAGTCAAACTTTCATATAATTAAAAACGGTTCGCGGTAAAAAAAGGCAAGAAGGGATTTTCTTAGATTTTTCTTAGATTATATATACAAAAAATGCCATTTAAAAAAAACTATTCAACGCGTTGCAAAACTAAATTTTTGATTCGTCGCACGAAACGTGGCGTTACTACGTGCATTATTGCTCCCTACATTTTTTAACACACATACAAACATCATCCGTAGGAATAAGCTTTCTTATGCACTGCCACTCGTATGCAATTAAATTAATCAGGTATTGAGTATTTTCAGACTTTGTGCAAAAAGTAACAGTGAATTTTAATAATTTAAATGAGGTAAAGGGACGCGGAGTAAAAAAAAAGTGTTTTTAAGTAAGTTTTAATTTATTAAATAATTAGGATCTTAGAAATGCGTATGATTTAAATATTATTCCTTATCCGCAATGTGAAGGAATGCTAAATATAACTATCAATCACTATCTCTTTCTGGAGAATTTGTAACGCGTTTTAAATGTCTTTTCTGGAGGAAAATATAAATAAGCTAAAAGCCGATGAATTAATAATTAGTGACATCGAACGACCCGCAGTGACATGTTGTGACATGACGTTGTGCGAAATGATAATTAAGTAATGTGACTGATAGAGAGAGGACGGGAATGGGAGAGAAGGGTGACAGTGAATAGTGAAAACGATGAAAAGAGAGCAGCGCATATCTTCATATACATATATATACGTACAAGGGGAACGAAGGGTTTCTCGGGCATTTCGGCTTTCGTAGTACCTAAACTTGATTTCAATAAATAAGCTACCTAGGGAGCGATTTCTTTCTTCTTTTTTTGGAAAGGAGGGAAGAGGGGGAGGGGGAAAAGGGGCAGGCGCTCCTTACGTGGCGAGTCTACGAAAAATGAACCTCTCCGGGGTGCCTTCCTTGTGCCTTGTGAAAAGTTAAAACGGGCGCGAGAGGTCGGCGCTCGGTCGAGAGGTCGATCCTCGGGGGAAAAATAGATGCGAAAAATAAGATTGCACAAGACGTTCTTCTCGCCAAAGAAGAACTCGGCGCCCCCTGGTCCCCTTCGTCGAGTCGCCACCGCGTCATATATTCATGTACCTAGCCTAATAATACAGTCTGCGATAGCGTTCTAGGGATTAAGTTCATTAACGATAATGCAATTATATTACACGCACTCACACGCGCTCCGGAGGCGAAATACGTATATGCACGCAGAATGCACGCGAGGGTACAATATACCCTCGCGTACGCAGACACGCAGTTCTAACCGATCGCCGTCATTCGAAATGCAAATGAAAGAAGAGGTGTTCCCTTCGGGATAAATTTCCCGAAATCGCGTGAATGTTAGAAAATATTACCGGGCAACTTGTATATTGATCGATGTCATTTTGTATTTGAGAAATAGAGGAACACAGACGAGCACTTGGAAAGAGTACAAAAATGAAAAACTACATTTTATTCATTTGAAAAAGTATAGAAAAAATACTCTTTATCTCCGTCTGGAGTCTCGTAAGAATCCTCTCAAAAATTACATGTACAGCTTTTTGCTGTATCCGTTAGCATAGAAAGAGAGAGAGAGAGAGAGAGAGAGCTCTTCTATAAATACAAAAGTAATTTTTTTTAAATATATGGCACTTCCAGCCTTGTTTATATCAAACCTTCAAATGTCCCGCATCTGAAACATTTTGTTCCTCCTATTTCAAAGCCACACAACGACATCGTATTTAATTTCAAATGGTATCGAAAGGTACCGAATATATCGATTCCGAATACGATCTGATCTGAGAATTGAATTATCAAAGGAAAAACCCGAAGGACTGTCGGCCGGTTGTCGGACTCGCGGCACGTTCGTAATCGATCGCGCCGCGAGTTTGTGCGTCGGCGGCGGGCAAGGCCTGCGTGTACATCGCGAGCACGCACGTACGCACGCAGGCAGGCAGGCAGGCAGGCACGCACACATTATTCATACACGCGGGGCAGGCACGCACGCACGCACGCTACGTTAGGCGGCGTAATTAGCACAGCGAGCGAGAGAGTCTTGCGCGGCGTGAGCTCTAACTGCGCAGGCGAGCGTATAAGAGTGGCGACGTACGAGCGTCCGCGACGTGACAAATATTTCCTCGCTGGACCAGCGCCGAGGATCAGCGTTCCCGCTTCTATTCGCCGAGGAACGAATTCCGATCGCGATACATTGACGATCGTGATTCTCATGCACGCTACCAATATACATTACGATTCGATAATACACGTCACCGAAAATTGATTGAGCCGAATGGATGAATTGTGATTACATCAGCCGCTTGTTCGAGAGCGAATCCGCCAATTTATTGCGCGCAAGTTTAGTCTGCTACGATACGGTATTGCATTGAGATTAAAATTTCATAGTTAAAGAACAAGCGAGAAACTTTTTTTTTTCTGAAATCTAATTGTGCACCTTGGTCAAATTTTTTATATAAACATTGTCTAAGCGAATTAATATCTCGAAATGATATTAATAATTCTGTGTTTCGTGATATATCCAAATGACGAATTGTTTCTTGTCGAGGAAATTGGGAAACACATGTCAATCGGCGTGCGCCGTCCGCGCGTCTCTTCGCGCTACCATCGCGGGCCGGTGACCGCGCTCGAAGCACAGCAGCCGTTCGGTTGCGCTACGATTTCTACGCGATTGTGAATTCCTTTCGTTCGCGTCGCCAAACGATCGACCGGGCGACAACGGTTTGAATGAATTTACATAGCCGGCGCGATATCGCGCGTTTATCGCGACGCGCGGCATCGAGAGAAAGATATTTTCTACTAATTGGCCACGCTTCGTCACGAGACTAAGAAAAGAAACGAGATAGATAGAGAGAAAGAGTGAGTAAAAAAAAAGAGACAGAGACATAACGAGCGATTCGTGGCGCGCGAATTAAATCCACGAGGAATCAACGATTAGAAAGAAAACGCTCTTATATACGTTACGAGGTACATACTTGCCTGAAGGGATCAGTCGGGGCAAGTGTAAATCGAACTTAACCGCGTGAAATTGAGATATAGCTTCGTGTCGGCGGGCAGTCCACCGCCGATCTTGGACGCTAATCTCGACGACGAGACACCCGTCCCCGCCGCGCGGGGAGCGTGTTCTGCTTCGCTCCGGCGCGGGCGGAAACGGAAACTAAACGGGCGCAGCTTAAGGCGTGTGTGTGTGTATGTGCTCGGAGCGAGCCGCGCCCGCGCTCTTGATTCGCCGACCGATCGAACGAATACGTGGTGCTTCGAGTCGCGAGACACACGAGGCGCCGTTAAGCGGGCTCCTGACATCCCGACCGTGCGATCCACCAGCGTATTTTGGCAGTTCTGATCTCAGGTTCTCACGGGGTACGGAGGAGGCAGTCTTGATCGGCGAGCTCGCACGCGGCTCAATACTTGCTGGCCTCGACGAGGTGGCGGCTCTCGTTCCGTCTCCGGGGTCCCGAGTCCGCCCCGTCCGGCCGCATCTTCCAGCGATTCGAGTGCCGATGGCGATGCGTGGACGTGTGGACGTGCTGCTCCCTCGCACTGTCGGCCTGCAACAGGGAGTTCTTCGCCGTCTTCGCGGCCCTCATCATCGGCGACGGTTTCCTCGAGACGACGTACGGCTGCCGCGGCTCCATACCGTCCATCTCCGCGTTCACCAGGCTGTTGTGGTGGTTTATGTCGGCATGGGGATTGTACTTGATGAAGTTGAAGCACTCCTGCCTGCCGTGGGGATTCTTCATCGGCTTGCCGAACTTGTTGAAGCCGACAAACCGCGATAAGTCGACGGCGCTCCTGTACCTCAGATAGGAGCCGTTGTACACCTCGTAAAACTGGCACATCGGTCCCTTCTGTTTTTTCGGCTGCAAATAAATCGTCAACGATTCACGATATACTACCCCGCTATTTCGACTATTAATCCTTTGCAGCCCGAGATAATATCACAAATTGATTAAAAGCAAATTTTTACCGTAACATTGACAATTAAAATATTTATTTAAAAAATTCGCAACCGTACAGCTTGTATATGTATTGTAATATAAAATATATAAGACTGCAAAAGATTAGAAGAATTTCCATGCAAATTTCTTAATCATTATATAATTAACGCTTTGTTAAAATTTGCAATTTCTGGATGAATTGATTAAAACATGAAATTTTAAATATCGATGATAGACATGTTACACGTAATTTTTATCATAACATTAAAAAAATAAGTAATTATTATTAAAAAGTGCTCTAAATGAATTTCGGCAAATTGAGAGGTACTTAAAGTACAATGTGAATCAAGTAAAATTTTTAAGAATTCAATTACTTCTTCAATTATTAAACAAAGTTCGTAATACACATCGTAAACATTGAAACCTTAAATCATCAAACTGTTCATAAGCCAATTTCTAAATTGCAGCCCCGCGCGTAGGTGATGAATAGAAATTTACGGACAGTGCAATACGAGGCGTTTACCGGCGCGCGTAAATCTACCCGTTCACTTGAGATGATGAAGTATGTCTACTAATTGGTAGGCGAGTAATTACCAGGCCGACGAGTTTCCACCGCTTATTGAAGCAAATGTATCGTTGGCTCTTCTCCGCAAAGATGTACAGCTTCCTACTGAAATCTTCCGATTGTGTGGTGAGTTTCTCTGTAACACAAGAAATTAAAAAATCTCATTACGCGTTTTGAACGAAATCTATTTCAACAAAACTTTATTATAACAATTATATATTATACAAAAAGCTTTATCAGTAAAATCTGGCAAACGGTTCTAAAAATGTTACTAAAATTATTTCCTTCGAGAAAGCGGAAGTAGCTGCAACATTGCGTAAAATAATATTCATGGCATGCATATTGGAAATGCAAGAATAACTAGGAAGAAGACTCGAGAGAGACCATTGGCAGAAACTCTCGCAGTTTCTACCAGTGCGAAGCTTCGATCCCGGAGGACAGGCGACAGGATGCACAAAGCGAACCGTTTTGTGCTTCGGTATGCACGCTGGCATATTTCCGAGAAGAGACCTCGTCGAGGTTTATGGCGCGAGTTGTACCTACAACGACGCTGTGGGGCCCCTCTACCACGGCGCTCTCTTCGGCACCGGCAGAAAAGAAGAAAAGACTCGGCTAAGCCTACCGCCGAGGCTAGTTGGTGCTAATGAAGGAGGCACAGACCGTCCGGTGTGTGCTTTGCCACTTAGCGGATCCTGTCGTGCCTCGACCCCGAAGTGCACGCTGCACCGTAGCCGGTGCAGCGCCGTCTCTCCGTCTTTCTTCCTCTGTCCCACCGTTTCACCTTTATCCTTCCTACTTGGTGTTACGAAATTTTGTCGAGCGAGAAGCAGGCACCCTTTGTCCGCCGGATGAAGGAAAAAAAAGGGACCGGCCAGGTACAGGTGCGCGAGACGGACGTCTTCTTTTTTTTTCTTTATTCCTGACACGAGAAATATCCACCGATGTGCTCGTTGCTGTAACGCATTGCGAAAACTGGGTCAAGTGCGATACATTAAGTTCAACTTCTTTTTTATTTTCTTCATTTACGAGAGAGAGAGAGAGAGAGAGGGAGAGAGAGAGAGAAAGAGAGAGAGAGAGAGAGAATGTTAATAGTACAATATTTTTATATTCTTTATTTCTTACGCAACATACATTTGTCATTTTATGTGTCGTAAGTATTTTTAAAAGTATTTACTCGTTATAAAATAAAAAAATAGCTCATAATGCTTTAAGAAACTATTTCGCTCCGACATATGGTAATAACCGTAATGAGAAAAAGGATCGAAAAGTAGAAAAGCAAAAGTTTTGTCCTTTCGCTGATAGGTTTGTCTAGAACCGATCGCAACGTTTCTCGGAAACTTTGTGACGGAAGGCGCAATCTTAAGATCGAGTGTTTGTCCGTGGGTTAGTAGTGCGGCATGAGTTCCAGTAGTATAGAGAAAATAAAGGAGGCGGGTCTGCAGGGTGGCCCATTTGCCGGAGCCTCGTTAAATTCAAGTGGTTCTCGTCGGATTCCCTTCCAACATCGAAATCAAGAATGTCCCCGAACTACCTCGTAAAGCCCTTCTTCAGCTCCGTCTAATTCTTTCTCTCTCTCTACCCCTGTTCTTCTACGTGTGCCTCCTTCTCTTGTCGCCTTCCACGGGTCTTCGCCGACGGAAAAAAAAAGTGAGAAGCAGAGAACTTAATCTCAAACTGCTATCTCACTAGCCTATGGTGTGCAGTCCGCGCCAATTAATTGCGCCACTTACGCTAATTAATTGGATTTACCTCGCAATGGGATGTCGATTCCGATAATATCATTTAAAGAGGAACCATTGTTTTTATCTATTATTTGAAATAGTTCACGTGAGAAATTATATGTACATGATTACGCATCCTTTGACACCGCGATCGATAGATTTTATGAATATTAATGCATTGATTAGTTATAGCAATAATTGAGAGATACGTTTCAAGAACACTTATAATTGAATAATTAGTCGCGAATTACGCAATCACTTTGCAATTTAAATAAGCGATAAGTACACAACAAAGTATATGTATACATCGCGTTTCTCAAGTAGATTATTTTGCATAAAGAAAACTATAAATCAGAAAATTTTATAATAAAAAATATTTAAAAAATTTTTATATATTTTACTACTACCAATAACAATAATTTTACTAAAAATTCGATTAATAAATCTTCAACAGCAAAGAATATAAATCATTTTTTCAAGCAATCCATCAATTGCATGATACAGATGCTGCACTTAATAATTTTAATGCATCAAATACTTGATCAGAAAATTGTAATCTCTCCAGCCGATCAGTTGTGATCGATCAAATAATTAATTGGCAAAAATAAAGCCTTGAAATTATTTTTATTATCGTGAAAAATCGATATCTGCAAATACCGATAAAGTAATTGATAACAAACATCAAGAACTTCCTCTTTTGAAAATTTGTTTAACCGTCGACTCTTTGTCAATTAATGAACGATAAGAAGTTTTACGAAGTGATAGGTGCTATGATGAAAACCAGTTTAAAACATATATGCTATGTTATCTTAATACGAACTGTATCGGAGATATTGAGGGAGTTATACGGGAGATATGGAAAGTAGCGAAACTAGCGTATCGATAATGAGACACCAAATGTGCGTTACATGATAATATAAGTATCGCAACGGTTGCAAATAAGTCAGAAACTTATCGAGCACGGAGTCGATACTCCTTTCCTTCCGGTTTGTGACACCGGAATTTTAAGTATGCGTAGCGCGCAATATCTACGGCACAATGGCGGAAAAAGATACGATGATAACAACCCGAGCGATGTTACCGCGTTTCACAAAGTCCTCTATACGTGTTTGCTCGCTCCAGTTACCCATTACCGAACTTTCACATTTCCGGTACATCGCCGCCGACGACGATGTCCGTCGGCGACCGAAGCAATCGTAGCGAAACTCCGTCGCTTCGTCTCGAAGCGATGGTTATCGTTATCAAAGAAAGGAAGTGAGACCGGCGCGCCATTTCGAGTGCTGACGCGTTTGTTAGTAAGTTGCCAGACGCGCGGAGTTTCGAGACAGGCGTCTACGGCGCGTTGATTTCAATCTTCCATTTGACGGATCTCCTCGGCCTCGATGAATCTTTTTCCCAGAGTGCTAGGATATGTGCCGAATGCAATAAGCATCCTTGATATCAACGAAAATACTTCGAATTAGTTTCGTGAAATCGAGGAAGTATTTTGCGAAAAATATAACAAAGTACTTGTGGGACACCTGCAAAGCGAATGTTTTCTCGCAATTCTGCGAGTTGTTAAATTCTATAACTAAAAAATAGTAACGAGAATGCAATTACAAGTAAAAAATTATTCTTATATCGAATACTGTTTGCAAAATACAAAATTCCGGAGCTTTACACGTAAGAGGAGCATTCCAAGAGCGATCCGCAATCGATCGATGTAATATATTTTGCCGAAAGGTGCCACATCGGAATTTATTCATGACGCACTCGCAAGCACGGGCGGCGCGTATGAGGATGAAGAGAGGTAGCCACTAAATTTTTCGCTTCAAACCTCTGTCTTCTCTCCCTCAACTTCCCCCTTGCTCCCTTCGCCAGCCCATCGGCTCGTCGCCCTCGCTCTGGTTCCCTCTGATCGGAGCCGCCGCGAGATTAGAGGCTGCCAAATGAATTAAAAGCCAATTTTAATCAAAAGCGGGCACCGGCTTTTAGGCACGATTACTCCGGATAATAACTGGTAGGATGGGCCTGCGCGTAAGAGGAAAAGAGCGAGACAGAGGGAGAGAAGAATGGATCCCATATATTACTTCTACGTGCTCCTCGCGATATAGGAACCAATTCGCCGCCTCGTTACAGGTTCGCAACTACCCACATTTTTTTCTATCGCGCGCTGAAGCAAACTACCTAAACGATTTTATCTCACGGTTGACCCGCGGATACAACCTGAGAAACTATCAGACTTAGGGATTCGATTTCCCCCTATCCTCTTGGGGAAACGGAGAAAAGAAAATTGCGTGCGATTACCACGCGGCAAGAAGCACTAATATGGGCTATTAGCCGTTGGTGTAATGCCGGCCTTAATACAAAGGTGAAGCGACGCGACTCGGGCCGAGAACCACTGGGGCGCTACAATTTCGCGGCGTCGGCGTTATGAAAGCTATAATACAACGCGCGAGGGAGAGATGGCCGGTACCGACCGTGTAAAGCGCAAGAAAAAGTCAAAAGGGAAAGGCGAGAGGCAGGAGAGAACGCAGCGCGTACCTATAGACGCAGCTCTCTCGTTATGAGCGCGCGCGTATAATAGCGACCCTGTCATTAACACCTAAACGCACGATTGGCCGATGCGCGAGGATCGTCCTCTCCTCGACGATGCACAGTAGACGAACACCGGCGCATCAAGACGGACGGGAATGCAGCGCGGGGTTATTCACGGGGATGGATCAAAGGTGCGACAGGTGAAGTCTGGTTTATCGGGCTGACGCGGTAATCACAGCCCGCCGCGACTCGAATAATTAAATTCCAGTCCGGGCGATCGGTACTGCCGGCGCGACCGATTCCATCTGCTCCGGCAATACCCCCCCCCCCCCTCCCCGTTCAGATCTCTATCAGATCTCTTTCCCTCGTTCGCGACGTCCGTCGTGTCGAAATTCGCGCGGGCGTCAGTCCCCGAAGGGCACCCAATTCCGGAGAGCATCAAACGTCAAGACGGGACGGGCGCTGCGCTTCGCGAGGTGTTTGGGAAATCATTTAAGTGCGGTAAGTATGTCGCGTCACGGTAATTATAAGTACGGCGTGTCACGTCGATCGCATCTCCGTGTTTGCTCGGCGTGCGGGTAACGAAAAGTCGATAATTATTATTTACCTTGATTGTGGATAATAGTTATTATCGTGTTATTAACTGACGCACTTGAATTATGATTTATCATTCCGGACTGACTGAGTTACCCCTCGCTCAACGTTCCCGCGTGCCTTTTTTATACATATCTCTAATGTTATTCTAGCAAAATCGCAAACTCTCGGTATATTAAGTACATAATTATCGTGTATTAATGCAACGATTAAATTAATAGATGCATTAAGCGCAAAAAATTAATACTCTATAATTACGTAATCCCTTTACCTGTTTACCTACCAGTATCGATATGCAAAATGAGTCACGGAAAATCACTATTATACGCATGAGCTGACATGATGCCTCCATTATACGATTCTAATTTTATCTAGTAAAATTATCAATGAATTTTTACAATATGACAATTTGTCTGCTATTTGATACAAAGTAGACTTCAGCCAGCACATCTGTCGCTATTTAGCAACAACTCGTTGCACGCGACAACGAAGCTTCAGGAGACTCCAAGCTCCCGAAGATCCGTCGTGGCGCGTTCTTCCACGGAGCCTGGTACGTGGCTCCTCAAGGACTCTCTCACAGTGTCTCAATCCCCCATGCAACAGCAGCAGCACACGCCGTTCCGAGAGAGTCGCGAGAGGGGCTTGAGTAATCGCCGGTCAGGAGAGGCTCGTTGTCGGCAGTTGAGTGCCGTGAGAGGTGAGAGAGCAGAGTAACAGAGGGAAAAGGTGGAGGCAAAAGCAAGAAGGCAGGAGGAGGCAAAAGGGGGCAGGAGAGATGGAGGAGGAGAAGGAGGTACGCGAAGGTGATGGATCTCGGGGAGGTGCAGACGCGGCGCGCAGCGTGCGGCGCGAAAACTGGCTCCTCTGTTTGCACAAGCGAGCGCCTTCTTCCCTCCTTCCGAACCTTCCTTTCGTCCCCTACCTCGCCGGCAATCGTCTCAAGAGGAACCGCCTCGTACTCGCGCCGCGCGTAGGGCGGACAGCCCGTTCGCTCGTTTCGTCCGGGATATCACGCGCAGAATTCCCGCAGAACTCGCGAGGTTGCGAAAGAAATCGCCGCCGGGAGGAACATTTCGGCGGTGAGGGACCAATACGAAGTTAATGAAACTCAAACTATACGATATGGAATTTTCTGTCAGCGGCTCTCTATAAAATGGCATTTCGCACTGGCAAAATTTGAGAATGAAACAATCATATCGTGAAATGAATAAACAATTCACATTCGAATTGTTTTAAATTCATTTTAATATACAATTAAATTACGTGAGAAATAAATGATACAAAAATTGAAGAGCTTTCACACACAGTTTTCAATTCTTCAGATGTATTATTAATTTCAGACTCTACACTCTCATTATAGCCATCTCCGGGTTCGAAAAGATTCGACTTCGGACTGTTATTAGGGTCGGCAAATCGACAAATTAACGCGAACGAGCGAGTGGTACGAGGCAAACAAGAGAAGCGTTTAATCATCATAATTCTATGCCTGCGATCTTTGCCCGGTTTAAATGCATTAACCAAGAATACGAAATGTTTGACAAATGTTTAATAAATACATCATCTTGACATGCTTGTCTATAAATGAGCGTTGCTTTCACGGCGGATTTATGTGAAGGTGATAAAATATAGGTGGAATATAAGCGAGCATTTATGTAAATATCCCATATATTTCACGGAAAAAATTGCTGTGGATGTTACAACAATATTCTCTATGTTTGGAAAAGAAATGCATGTGAATTTAAGTTATATTGATGTTACATGGCATTCATCTGTTAAGGTATGCTCATCAGTACGGTTGTCACAACCGTAGTGCTTAGGATAAATAATATTCGGTTAGAATATCTTCATATATGTGGTTGCCTCAACCA